TTTTTTTACTTTGGTTTTCTCTGCAGTAGTAGTAGGAGGAGGAGAAGATGTAGAAGTTGGACCATTTCCTTCTTCATCAGCTGGTGATAATAATTCTTTATCATCACTACGTTCTCGTTTGTGTTTAGATTTCGATGTTGATAATTGTTCTTGTTTTTCAATTATTTTCTTTTTCTTAGACTTTTTGTTTTGGCTTTTCGGTTAATATAGGAGGTGTTTCAACTTGTTTAGGAACTGATTCTTTTAATTGAGATGTCAATGGTGATGGTGTAGGAATCGATTGAATAGATTTTTCATTTAAGTCAATATTAAGTGCTCAATATGGACCATATTTTTTATTTTTTTCAACACGTACATCATTATCATTATCTTTATTTTCACTTTCTGTAGCATTTGCTGCTAATTCATCACCATGTGTTACTTTAACAGTTGGATAAATATCATCATCATTATCATGAATTACTTTTGCATCAGTTTTCGATTTTTTTCTTTAAACGTCAATTTTCTTCGTCAATTTTTGCTTGACGATATAATTGATCAGATAGTGTTAATTGTAAACTAGTAGCATTTGTTCCTTGTGATAATGTTAATTCAGTACGAACATTATCATTTATAATATACGAAGTTGTTTTAGTCTATAATACTGAAGATAAATTCAAGGATTGAACTAGACTATTTGCATTCTATAGAATCAAATGAGCTAAGAATATCCGGAAGATAGCTCAAGTCTGTAGCTTATTGATGTCGAGATATTGCACTTTTACCGTAGTTTTTAAATGAATGTCGTAGTTAGAGCCTGTCGGATTCATTTCGGATCCGAAAACTTTGAATTCGATAGGTTCTAGCCATGATACCTCACAGGAATATCATGAAAACTAATTTTCGAATTTTGACTTGGAACTCTTCATAGAGACAGACCTTAACGAGACTAGTTTCTTGTGAATGTTTCAGATCTTGCCATTGCTCCTATCTTAAGATAAAGCTATGATAAAAACTTGTCCATTATATCTGATGACAAATTCGACATTCTTATGTCAACATAGACGATAATCAAAAGATTTGAAACGTTCATAATAAATCACTAACACTAAAAACTTATTTGTGTCAATTTTGGTTTTTTTTTTGAATCTTTTAAATAGAATGGATTCATTTGTTCACTTTGTTTTTTTGACTCTCGTTGTTTTTCTAATTCTTCAGCAGTTGGTTCAATATATTTTTTCGATTTTTGATAACTTAATGTATCGCCAGAGTATGAATTAGAATTAGAATTTTCTCCATTATCATCATAAAATAAACCTTTATTATCATAATATGAACTTGTTGTTATCGATTCATCTTCACTGTCTGATTGAGGATCATTTATCCAACCATTCAAATCCAAAAACGTTGAGCTTTAGCAACAATTGGATTAAGAACATCATCAAATAATACTGATAATTCATTAACATTAAATTTAGATTTTTCAATTAATTATAATGTTGTTTTAAAAATATGTTAAATAACCTTGGCCTAAATAAATAATTTCTTTTTTTTTTATATTTGATATTTTAAAATAAAAAGAAAAAATGGCCTACTCCTTCTTGTGCTTCGACATCACCACTTGATAAAAATAGAGACATTTTATCAATCGTTAATGAAAGAAGTTGTTGAATTAATGTTTCATCATTATTCGATGATTGAATTAAATATATTATAATTTTTAAAATATTTTGATAATAAACAGATTGAATATATCCAGGAAATAGAGTAGTTTTTGTATTAAGCATTGATTCAAGAGTTTTTTGTGGTTCTTTTTAATGACTATAGAGAAAAGAAAAGCAAGAATTCTTTCAATTAATTTTGTTTTACGTTATTGACTTACGAACAAAATTCACTACAAATCCATGCAGCAGCATATAGAACTTCGGCAACAGTTGTAGAATTTGAATCATTAATAAAAACATAAGCATTTTCGAGAAGAATTGCCTAAAAACCTGAAATAAAAAAATTTTTTCGTGATTTTATTTTTGAAAAATTTCTATCATTTGATTACAAGCAAATGAACGCATAGATTCAACACGAACAACAACATCAAGCATTCATAAAGATATGAGATCACCATGTTTTGTACTTTCAAGACGAGTTAATTCGACCCATATACTAATATATCTATAGTGATAAATAATGTTTTTTTATTAATAAAAATTAAAAAAATAAATTTAAACCATTCAAAATTAGTTATATGTTGATAATCATTTTGACTACATATTTCAATTATTTTTGAAAGTAATTCATCTCGATAACGTGATCCTTCAGATTTATCCATATGAATCATTAATTTATGTACGATATTTATTAGAGCTTTTCTTGTTACCTGAACAAAAACAAAATTCATAATCAAAATTAAGTTTTTTTTCAAATATTGAATGATCAGATTTTTTTTATTAATAGTTTTTCTCCATCGAATTCTCATACCATCTCAAACAAAAGCTCAATTAATTAAAGAGATCAGTTATTCATGTTTCACTCTACTTATTTAAAAGAATTTCGACAGAAAAACTCGGTAAAATGGTAAGAAGTTTCTATCATTTTCTCGAGTTTTTTGGCTGGAAATGGCGCGTATTTCTTAACCTGAGTAGAAACTAATAGATTGTTTTTATGGCAAACTCTTGTATCAATAAACATTTTTTTCTATTTCAAAAATAGATAAAAACTACAGTAAAATGATTACGAATGAAATCCATAGATTAATAAACATAAATCATATTAACCTTTGTTTTTAATGACACATTTAAATCATACAAAGAATTTACAAAAAATTAATTCAACTAAAACTACAATAGTCATTGGAAATAAATAAGAGTTTGTAATGATCACTGTTTCATATTAATTCATAACACTTTTTATATAGAAAAGCTGTCCTAAAGCACAATTTCTATGTAATAAAATACAAGCCGATACTGACCGGAAAATTGTAAGAACTTGGAAGCAGGAATCCGACGGTTAGCTCTGTTCAATTACGATCTATTCTGATCGAAACTAATAGGGTCTGGCTATCGATTTTCTATTATTTTTCCAAGTTTTCTGACCGAAAATCTATAGATCCAGGCGTCTACATCATTAAATAGAGATCTACCTCCTGTTGGCATGGTTTGTCTGTCCCTACCTGTGTGTGCTTTCTATCAACGTGACATTACTATGCAAACATCTATTGACTTTCTACAGTGGATCTTCATTATCTGGCAACGACAAAAAATAAAATATTAACATAATAATAAGAATGTTTTCAATGTATTTAATGAAATAATTAAAGAAGACATCAAAATCTGTCCTCTAATATGAATATAAATCAGAAATAATTTTTAACTTATGATGTATGAAAATATTCACAATTTTAAAGATATTTTTTTAAGCAATTATGATAATGGTACGATGTTAAAATATCATAGGAGAAACTTGAACTAGATATCTGACTACAGCACAAGTGAATAAAATCTCCTTATATATATATCGATTTATTAATCCACTCATATTCAAAATATAAGAAATTTCTTGTTTGCTTATTTTTTTTCATTTTTCTACAACGAATAAAATCAATATCACAATTGAATTTTTTTCCTGCAATACTTATTCACGAAAATTAATATAACCTTTTTCTATTGTTAGAAAAGAGGTTAGTCGAAAAAAAATAAGTATTCACATAGTACGAACACTGTATACCTCGATATCTACATTTCCTCATGAAAAAAAATGAACTTATTAAAACTTTTAAAAAAATAACAAGCAAGTTCGACAATCTGTTTGAACATCTGTTATTTTTAATATCTTTTTTCTATCGAATTGATGATTTCATATTTGAATACTTTTTTGTCATTGATTTTTTAGCTAATAAATCATTTTCTCACCATTCGAGAAAGAAGATCAAGACAACGCATTATTAAATCACTATGTGATTGAATACTTTTTGGATGCGTATGTAAGATTGTCGACATAGCAAGTAAACCAATATATTTTACTAAAACGATAATATAAAAATTTTCTTTTGTCTTTTTTTGTATAATGAATGTTATTTATTTCACACAATTTTGATCTGAATCTTCGATAAGTATTCGAAGTTTTTGTACACATAGTTGAATTGAAGCATTATTCTTTGGTAAATCTGATGAAATTGATATAAGAACTTAAATAAAAACGTATTCAATTAAAATTTATCTCTTTATTTCATTTTACTAGCAATCACAGTATTAATACATTCATATCAAAGAGACATAGCTGAAGTACTATGAATTAAATTTGTCAATAGTTCTATTAATTTTTTGCCTAAACGAAGTTCTAATGGTGTTAATACACCAAACTAAATACAAACAACGAAAAAGAAATCCATTCGAAAACAAAGAAGTGAAACAAATTTTATTTACTAATTTAATAATTTTAATAAGCATCCAATTGTTAGTTGATGTTGTCAAATGGAAAACAACATTGGAGCTAAAGTAAGATAATTTTCTGGATTACGTCTAGCTAGTTTACAAATAACATTCACAGCAGCTGCTTATACATCTGAAAATAAAATGTTAAAATTCTCTTTTTTATATTTAATCAATTTATCTGAATCGGAATCTTCAAGTTTTTCATTTAAACGTGGAAATGCTGATTTAAGAACATCAAGATTATTAAGAAATATTTTATATAAAAGTAGAATAGCTCATTTATGAATATATGGTTTTGTTGATAGCATCTAAAAAAAATTTATTTAAATAAATAAAAATAAAAATACAATTATTTCTTACAAGCGTCATTATCTCATTAGCTAAATCACGTACAAGATCACTATTGATAAAACATGAAAG